CCCCTTCTCTTTCTCTTGCTCTCTCACGCACTTTCTCCCCCTCTCACATTCTGGAGTCTCTACCTCCCTAATTCCTCTCTACCGATATTATGCTCTGACTTGCGTCTATGTCGCAGGAGCTTTTCATGGTCAATACACACACGCACAGATGGCCAACTTTACCCCTACCCTTCTCTTTCTCTTTCTTTCCAGTTAACTCTGCTTGCCCATGTCATTTGTGTGCGCACCCAATATTTTATGTTTTTAATTTGTAATGTGTAAAAGTGTGTATTTTTGTAGTGTGTTACTGTTATTGTGAGTACACGAGTTCTTGTATGTATGTGCATACGTGGATGTAGGCTTGTACCATAATTAAAATGTATTCTTCCCTTCTTCCCTTTCTGTGTTTGTGTGTTTGTGGGCTTGAACTTGAGCGCATATTTTTAATGCATGTCATCCGCTCTCTTTTTCTGCTTTTGAAATTAAAACAGGATCATTTGTTTGTTTTCTTTTTTTTTTACTTGCAGAGTAAAAACCGCAAAAGTTACCAGGCGCAAACAAACGACGACTCTATTTGCCAAAGGTGCTATATCCATCACCTCCCCTCTAAAAAACGCTTCTACAAGTCAGAGACACCCCCGCCACCTGTATCGGTCCTGGATGCTCAGTCAAACAGACCACCGCCCGCCTCAGAACGAAGCCCCGCCCTGTCTGCCCCCTCACCCAGCACACACCTCCAACTGACCACGCCCCTGACCCCAGACACAGACGGCCAGTACGCTCCCAGTCCTTCCAACTCCACGCGAGGACAGGGGTCGAGGTTGATTCCTCCGTCCAAGAAGTATCAGTTCCTGGAACGAGATCGCTGTGGTCACGAGAAAGATCTCAACGACATCCTCACGCCGAGACTGATGCCGTACGAGATGTGGAAAGGAGTCGTGAAGAACGTATGTGACCAGGCGGTGGTGAGACCTAAGAAGAATCTGCCTAAGATTAGTAAAGTGCAAAGGGGCAACAGCATTATCAGAGAGCGAACAGGTGATAGTGTATTCGGGACAAAGACTAGGAGATCTTCAAGTAAACTCTCTGTGAGAGGACGACTGGACTCTAGACCTTCGTCGCGGTCCATCCAGAGGAAAACGACTAGTGTTTCAAGAAACAACTCTACACTTAGAAGAGAAAAAAGCAATACTGACAGACAAAGTAGAAGTCAGAATGAGACTGGTCCAGAAAACTTCAGTAGAGAGGGAAGCTCTGTGAGTGTTGATAGTGAGAGAACAGATGCATCTCGGATGACGTCACCTTGCAAGCGTTATGTGTCAGCAAAATCAAAAGCCGTGCTTGATTCCCACAAAGAATAGCGAAAACAATGTTTTGCCCTTTATCCTTTTCCACGTCCACATGCTTGGGAATTTATGAGGGCCATGTGTTCAGTTGTAGGTCAAGATGTTCTCCACTCACTAAAGACGCACGTTCTAGTTATTTGACAATGTTTGAAGACGCACTGTTTTGTAGCTCTTTAAAAAAAAAACACAAGTTTGTCTATGCTTTTCACAAATATTAGTTTTTAAACCTGTTTCCTTTATCTGAAATTATACAACAACATGCATAGTATATTTCAGATTTGTGTATGGTAGCTCGAAATGTACCGCAGCATCGCATTTGGTCTGCTGCTGATGGGACACCTTCGTTTTCAAAGAGTTAAACTGCTGAGTTATGAATTAAACGCAAAATGAACGACCACTGGCTATATTTGACAGCCACCATACAAAAGAAACACTGTGACTGTCACGGTTCCAACCTATCAATATAACCGGAAACTGAAGGATACAACAGATCTTTATTGCTGGTGGATAAATAAATGTTTCCACCGCTCACAGAGAAACACTTCACGTTGTTTGGTTTTCAAAGATCTATGCCGGGAAATGTATGCCCTATATAGCGTAGGCGTGTTTGCCTATACTTCTGTGCTTCTGTGTGAATGCTCGTACGGGTGTGCCTGCGTGAATGCATAAATAATTTGCGTATGTGTGTATGTGTGTGTGTGTGTGTGTGTGTGCGTGCGTGCGTGCGTGTGTGTGTGTGTGTGTGTGTGTGT